AAATCGGGAGTGAGAGTCCGTGCCACACTAGTGGGGCTAGCCTAAGTTAAACTTAGAGCTGAACACGCCGCTAGCATGGCTAACCCCATCCCATGGGACTAGTAGTAGTGTGTCTGGAACTCACTTCCACTTATTGTAATACTAACAATGACGTCTACTCATACCTCATCATGTTTTAAAACAAGAAAGGCCCCGCCACCCGACGGTTTTGTTGCAACAGCCACAAACTTGGGGTTGACAGCGCAAATGTGCCCATCCGTTGCTCCATCATTAATGCCGCGGATACTGGTGAACTGCTGATCTGGCTTGCTGGCAGTACCGAAAACGTGGCGATATTTGCTCGATCTCACGAACCTCCCTGCCATGATAACAAACTCAAACTCTTTCTACGACTAGTCAGTAAGTGTTTGAGGTGGAAAAATCGAAAGGTAATCTTTTCAGTGGCAAATTCTAGGAGTGAAACGTAGAGGCAAAAAGCAGGAAGTATTTCCGCCGGCCACCAGTTAACGCCGCTGTAAATGGGGCGTGGGGAGTTGTCGAAGTCCCACGCATGTAGTCTGGTTTCAGTCTCCAAGAGATGAGCTCGTACAAAGAGTCCAAACGTGTTGTGATGAGCTTGCCTACACCAACTGGAGACTGGTGCCAGAAACAGCATGGACCCGCTGCAACCTCGTCCCAGTATCTACTTTTGACGTATATGCAATTTTAAATCAAGCTCAGTCCTTCGACGAAGTAGGGACGAGGCGATGATTATGAACGGAGCACTGACCCCCGGTGCGATGTCAAATCGTTTCCCCAACAATTTAAACAGAAAAATTAATAATAATGAAATTTATATTGTGCTTTCTCCAGGACACACCAACTCGTAAGTGCATTACATTAATTAAAATAGTAACAAAAATCAATACAACAAAACCAGAACACGATAAACCAAAAACAAGAAAATCATAACTAAATTGAAACAAATGAATATCATTAGTTGTATTTAATATTGTAACGTCAAGCCCCTCCCACGAAGGTGAGGGCGCCCTCCTCCTCGAGGCGTGACGGCGGACGGCATGGCACGTACCGGAAGGTCCTTGAGCGCAAGGCTAGGGGTCTAGACCTGTCCAGTTGATAAGTTGCCGTAGACAACAGTGATAAATATCCCCACTTCAAAAAAAAAACAGGAAAAATACTCACAAATTTCACAGGTGTTCAAAACACATATCAAATTAAAGCTCACTTCCTCATCTTTCATTTTCCTTTCAAGTTTCAGTGGCTTAACTCTTGACTTTGAAGATATTTCTCTCCAGAGAAAATTTCTCTCCCTCAAAACACTCAGGAGGCCCATCGCCATTTTGGAAATTGATGCCTACACTCCATGGCAAAATAGAGCAATTTGGAGGGCCCCGTTTGGTCCGATACAAGCTGACAGTCTTGCCCCTGCATTTCATCCACCTTCTTAACAAACCATCCAGTCCATGTGCCACGAAAGGCTCTAATAGCCTACAAATCGTGATTTGGTCTGCACAGGCAATTTTGGACCTATTTACGAGCCTGCAGCCCTACTAGTAGGGACGAGTCCATTGGGATGGAAGTGTTCCGTTCCCCAAGAAAAAGCTCTGGTCTTCGTTGAGATGATACCTAATCTGATTGGCCCCAAAACTTTGTGACGCAACCCGGACAGAACGTTAACTGAC